CCCACCCACCCACCTGGAAGCTGCCCCAGAACCTACTAAAAGTAAAGGATTTCTAAATATACCAAGGGTGATTGAGAAAGCATTTTAAAAGCAAGCCTACGTTTTTAATTAGAGCTGTAGTGAAGAACTCGCTTGAGGTTAAGACAGTAATGAAACACTCTTGTGTCCTAGAAATGGCAGATTTGTTGTTCTGGGGTGCTTTTTTAGACCAAAAAAAAGCAGGTTTGACTTCCCTGAATTCGCTCCAGACAAGCATCTCTTTTATATTAGCTGATACTTTTCTCCTAAAAGCCACCATTTCTCTTGACTTTGATGTTTAAGAGTTTTCTTTACAAAAAAGAACAAACAATGTTTAAACTTGTTTTTGCATTTCAACTGGCATGAAGATCATGACAAGAAAGAATAAAAAAAAAGTCATATTTGTCTGTTTTCTATCAAGGGGATTTACTTGGTCTCCCATCATACGTTACATACCTGAGAAGTGTTTTGCATTTGTTAGGAAAAAAAAGGTGTTAGGTGGACAAAACGTTAACCTGTACGTGCAAATAATTAAAGATGTTCCACCATAGCTTTAAGGCTTATCTTTAATTAGTACACACTAAAACAAATCTTGTGACTGATTACTGCATTCAATATAGACACAAAATATGTATGAACGTATGGATTTAACTTAAAGCAAAGATTTTGAAATACTGACATGAATTTGAAGAGGAACTTGAAACATAATCTAATAAATATTTATTATGTTGCTTTGTTTTTAATAGAAATGAACTAAGAGAATAAAAGCAAGCTTTATCAAGGCTAAGGATATTTTCCAAGCATGAACATTTCAGGTTTTCTTTGGGTGGGTGGCAGGGAGAGGCGGGGTGTGTGTCTATCTGTGCACCGAGATTTCAAGCATCAGAAATACAATTTCAGCACAGTTATTTTACTGCCTTACTTTTATTTCTGAGACAAGTACATAGATACAAGGTCAAGGACCCATTTGTCTGGGTACTTTGATCTACTGGTTGCATACCTTGCAAAACTAAGGTCATAAATTTAACATTTCATGAGTGTCTCAAGAAACTGAGATCCCAAGCTGCCACCTTCACTACGTGTTCCTATCGATGCATTACGGAAATGAAAGCACACGTGGAACAACCAAGGCAGATGAAAAATCAGCTGAGCAAAGCACGCACAGAGTTACAGCCAGCTGAGGAATATTCTTCTCATGAAAAGCTACACTTCATTTTTAGTAGTGTTGCTTCCGTAAGGTTCAACACATGTAAGCATCCCACCCGTCTTCTCACCTCTGTTCATACCAAAGGAGAGTTAAAGTGACCAGCCCCTGGTTACCAAGTGTCAGGAGCCAAACGAGCAGCTCTGATTCCTGATGCCACGTTATTCCTTTGCAGACGAGGCTGCCTGTACGTATGGATCTGAACTGTTGCTCACCAGACATCTCATATATATTTTTAATATAATTTTTTAAAATTTGAACAAGTATATATTCCAAAGATGTCAAATTACAACGATGGGCTTCTTGAATAACACAAATTATGGTGTAAACGCACTTTAAGTGAAAGGTACTAAACGTCTTCCAATCAGATGGAAACATTCTCCAAGTTGTTAGAGAGGAGTCTCTCACAGAACACAGCCAGGTTATGTCTAACATCACAGTAACTACATAATTAACTAAAAGCTTTGCTGTAGGTAGCTTTCTGTCAGCAGTTAACGTGCTTAACACCGCAAAGTGGGTAAGGAGTCATACTCCCAGGGCAAGAAAGTTTCTCCACAGATTTCTTTGCACACTGTTAATATATTGCTCCTACACATAATAAATCAGGCAAATACCTACCCATTAATGTTATAAGCTTGTTCTTCAGCTGTGTGTCTAACCTGGCAATCATCATCTCCACTGCATTCCTGATTTCCCGAACTCGCTCATCCTTCGCGCTACGCACCGCCTCCACATTCCTCTCCTAAAACAGGGTTCAGGAAAAAAACAAAGCCTTCACACTGAGTCTTTCACTCATTTTACACAGACTCCACTCTCAGACCCCAGAAATGCCTAAGCCTCCCTAGAGTCCCCTCCAGCCCTATTTTTCTATGAGGGAAAAAAGAAAATAGCCCTGGTCTTACTGAATCTTACATGCTTAAAATAAGAAAAGAGAAACGTGGTTTTAGATGAGCTGTATTACAGGCTATTCCTGTTACCAGTTGTAAATATCCTTTGACTTTTGCTGAACACCTAAGCGTGCCCTCTGGTGGGTGTCCAAAGGTTAACAGTAAAGTTGAGCAACATTTTCTCATTACAGAGAGATTTGTCATATGGAGCTTCTTTAGTACCAAAATTTGTAAATACAACTGCCAGTTTCTCTTCTATAACTTGAGAAGCACAGAAAAGTTACTTTCTTGGTAACAAGAATAATTTGATAAAAACTGCACCCTTCACCCTGGAAGGTAAAGGCTGCAATCCTCTCAATGTTTCACAATTATTTACAAGTAGCCCAAAAATAGCAGAGCTGACCTACCACTGCACGAGTCAAACAACTACCCGAACAACAGCACAGACAAAAACTACATGGAAATTTGTTCAAAAAAAACCCACCTTATTCACACAAAGACTACACAAGAAATGTAACGGCATTCAGCAGAACACAAAAATAATCCTTCCTAGAACACAAGAAACTGTACTGAATTGTTGGAATTCCCACTGGAACTGCCAAAACTGAATATGTCAATATTTGGATGTTTAACTCATTTACCCCTAGTGGGAAAAAAAAAAGGAGGTGCAAAAATTTCCTATCTCTAACCAGTGAGCTACTTCACAGCCCATCCAGTAGACTCAAATATACACAAGAGTTTATTCTCCAAAAGAAAGGAAAATAAGCTCTGTTAGAATAAAGCATTTTTATACTTGTTTAGCATGGCAGGCTGCACTTTTATGAGCATTGACAAAAATGTATCTTTCAAAGAACCGTGCAACTCTAGCTTTTAAATAGCATACACCAAAAGAAAAATTCCCTGCTACCTAACTCCCACCTTTTTCCGTCTGGCAACTACAAAAACAAGTATTGAGAATACGTTGATCTTTCCACGTTGTATAAAAAGATTGTAACTAAAAAGTAAACACGTTTCTCTACGGGATGATCTGATTATCTTCACAGAAGCAACAGTTTCTGCGCAGGTACCGAAAACATCACGAGCATATGAAATGGTGTACTACTTCCATTTCCCGCTTCACAGCTACCCTTTGACAGTAAAGCACTACAGAAAAAAACCTCAACATTATCTAGGATCAATTTCTTACCACTTCTTGCACCAAACTGATCAGTTCCATGAGTCTTCTCCTAAGCTTTGCCACTTCTTCGTTTACTTTTGTGACGTGTTGCTCATAGATTTCTGCCAGTGGCTTAAAAGTATGTCCCCCATGCTGTCAAAAAAGAAAAACGGGGAGAAGGAGGTGGAGAATAATAGAGCATCTCATTTTAAATTTATTCCACTCCTATTAAATTACTGAGAGGGGAAGAAAGCCTCCTACTGTATCACTCGTTTTGGAAAAGTTCCAGAGCAGATTGTACGTAGGAAGTCTGTCTTTCACTTCCCTTCATAAGTCATGAATTTGGCTTTCATACCATCAAAGCTTCCTGTCAAGAGTTATTTGGAGGCTCAACAGTCCTCCAAAAATATACTGTTTCATTCACTGTGCAATTCTCTAAGAAATCAAATAATGATAGAAGGGTTATTTTTTTTATTATTTAAAACACCCTTCCCAAACAAAGGCAGCATGCTGTTAACCACTTATATTCCAAACAATGACAGCAGTCTCTCCTTGAAACACTCAAAGGATAATAAACAGCGTGTTGAATTGTGCTACTAATATAACTTTGAAGATATTCAAGATTACAGGCAAGAACATTTAAATAAAATAAGTATCTATATTTTCTGAGAAAGCTTGTCCTTTCCCATAAAATTCTCACCACCATCTAAAGTTTGTCCAAGACATCATGAAGTTTATAACAAGGAAGGTAATTCTGACCTTCTTTTGGCAAAAAGTCATTGTGCTTCTCTAATTATAAACAGAAGGTATCGCCTTCCACAACCAACGTTCACATTAAATTATCAATACACATGCAACTACAGTATTTGCACAGCAATTCAATAGCCGTAACAGTTTCAGAGCATTTCTAACTCTTCAAACTGCTGTCAAACATCATGCTTGCAGCCCCTTATTGTAGCATACCATGTGCATATAAGCAAGTTAAGTCTCTTCTTACCATTCCCCCCCAGAGGGCACACTGGTGGCAGATACACTTCTTACAGGTCCAGCAGAAAACACTAAGCTTCTCATGATGATTTTCACACCTTAATCAAAAAAAATACACGTAGCATCAACAGAAAATAGCTATGAATTTTCTGCAAACTCTATTTAATATCTTCACTTGTTTTGCTACCTGATACTGAGAGTAAAGCACAAAACATCAGCACAGTTTTGCAATACTACTACTCATAGTCAGTAAAAACCGTTTGCAAAATAAATGTTGCTCTCTGTATTCTCTCAGGAATTACTTCACGGAGAGAAAGTACATTACTAAAATTGGATTTTTACCCAGCAGATAAAGGATATCATCAATAAATCAAGCTCAGAATTCCCAAAGTTAATACTTCACATTATGAAAATCTTGATCATACACGACCTGAGGTAAACACAGAGCAACAGCTCATAAGATTTTTGGACAAACTGATCTTTGTCATTTTTTAAAATTTCAGGAACAGAATGAATCAACAAACCAAGCACAGACCTAAAATACATGCCTCTCCCTTCCCCCGCCATCAGCATTCAGGAACATGGGGAGGAGGCAGGCAGAGAACACATAATTAGTCCCTGACCATTTTTCAATGCTTCTTATCACACTTTTCTCCTGCAAATCTCCAGAATGTATCTTAACACACATAATAGCACCGGTAATAAGATAAAAACAGGAGAAAAGCCTGCTGAGAAAGTACCAACAGTTGTTGGTACTTCTCTAGGAAGAGAATATATCAGAAGATACCTGAGGCTCTAAAGACAAGGAAGGAGAACAAACAGCAGTAACGTGACAAATACAGCAATAGCAGTGCTTTCTGGGGGACTTTATATATTTTCTTTGATCTCAAACTGGGTTTATCGATTATATTTTCGCAAGGGACTAGAAGATATCTTCTCAGAACAGCTTCTCTGCTTTTATGCGCCGAGATACCACATCAGCACCCACAGTCTTAATGTACAGTCATTAAGAAGGGCTAAGAGGCATATGAAGTATTACCACCCTTCATGTTTCCCCTTATCTCTCATTTTAACTTTATTAAGTCAAAACAGAAATAGGAGTAGTTTTCTAGGCAAAGACACTGAAGAGCTTTTCTCGTTCCATTAAGTAGGACAGAAATGAACTCTAACTTTTAGTCAGACAGCGAGCACAACTCAGCTTTGAAGTAAATAAAAGTTATCAGTTTCCTGATTCTTATGATGAACTGAAATGAAAAGCCTGCTCATATAAAGCAAACTGCAAAACGCTTTATGGGAAGAACGCTCCATTTACTTGTCTTTTTCGTTCTCCTCGTGCTTGGTGAGATTGCACAGCTGAAGCGTATCAAGCTGCTGCGTGACCTCTTCTGCCCAACGACAGTTCACGAGCTCTCGTAGCTGCAGCGGGGCTCTGCAAGAAGCATTGCTAGAGTTAGAGCAAGAACTCAGCTCCAGGAGCTACAAGAGAAACACTGAATTCAGTTCATCAATTCTGCACTATCAGAAAAGTCACAGGAAAAAAAAAAAAAGCAGCCGCTATTTCAGAAAATAAGGGGGGAAAAAAAAAAAGTGATGTTTTAAGTGGATTTGCTCGTTTGGGGGCTGGAGAGAGGCAGGAACCACCCCACAGTGACATCAGAGTAGCTACATGGGGAACCCAAGAACTATTTCCAGATTTCTTGATAGGCTCCTGGATAACGCTGGGCAAATCATTTCTCAGTGCTTCTTCAATTTCTCCCATTATTCAACTATCTCCATTGCAATGCTTCAATTATCCCCTCTGCAAAATGTCAATATATTTACCTCCTTACAAACTACGGATCCTCCTTAGAGCTATTGATTGAATACTTTAAAAGCTGAATATTAAAAAAAGTTCTGCAAAAAATGGTTGGTTGTTTTAAATACCTCCCTTCCCTTAGGGGAAAAAAATACGCTACCTTCCAATTTTTGGTCTATCAAGAGATAGAACTGCTGGGTACTCAAGGACTAGAAGTGCTAAGGGGGAATTGGGGTAGGGCACTGCATTGAAAAAACCCAACCAAACCCAAACAACACATTTCAGCTACCTCTCAGACAAAGCTGCAACACAAGGTAACTCTCACAAATGATAGGTATAAAAAAAGCACACATTTCAGTCTGAAAACTGAAGTTTCTGGTCTCTGACTCTTACAAGAAGCATATAAAGAGTTCTAAGGGGAATACTCTCTAGTTACTCTTATTACACCAACTACTTGCACTGAAAACAGCAGTGGCATAGGGGAAGCACAGAGATCTTGCTTAGCCTGTCACAAAACTATAACAAATTTTAGAATAAGTATTATACCAGAGTAAATGTTTACAGTAACAGCACGCAGGTCTCAGAAATCAAGCTTACAAAGTTAGTGCAACCTGCACTGAAAAAAAAATATCAATCATAACAGGACAGTACACCCACCTCCCGATAATCTGTTTCTGGTATTAAAAATACCTTACCTACAGTGAGGGCACTGAGCTCTTTGTTCAGTCAGCCAACGCTATGAAGGAAAAAGGAAAAACATTTTTAAAGATACTGTAAGAAGAGAACTGCAAGCAAGTACATTCTATCGTTAATTAGGAGTTTTATCTTTTTATTCCTGTATTTTTTCCTTTTCTTGCAGATTTGTAATTTAACTGTTCAACCACTTAGTCACAGAAGAAGCTATTTGTATCTTAGTAACAGAGCACACCCACTTTTCTGTAGATGCCAAAGACACTTCAGTTAAAATTATGCAAAGAATTTTGAGGTACCAAATATTCTACTAGAAACCACACACCTGGCACAGACTCCTATGGCCACAGACTAAAGAGCATGTTTCAGCAAAAGAAAGCAAAAGATAGAACAAGCATATTTTCGCAGTCTAAATTATTAGTCTTCAAGGTAACTCATTTCTTCCTCTCGAGCTATTTATACTTGAGGCAGATACCTGCAGTTCACTGATCAAATCCACAAGGACCCCCTGAATGTTTCTCTTCCAGAAAGCTCCAAAGACAAGTCACTGAGGAAAGAATTTCACCTGCCCACTACAACTTACAAGTGTAAAAGCTCAGCAGTGGAAGGGCTTATATTTGTCAGCTCACTACTACATTTAAAGATTCTCATGAATAATCTCTCACCACCCAGCAACAATATGTCATCTAACATTCCTAGTTTGTAATGCGAATCCTTCACCTAAAGTTCTTGTCAGAGCTTTCAAAGCAAAACGAGGATTGTGCCGATTTCTGGAGATACTACTGGAGGTCTGAAATCCTCAGCTGAACCCTCTTCCCACTGCACTACCACAGCATGTGGACTCGGAAAGGAAGCACTACACGTTGGCAACCATGACCTTAATAAATGAATTGAGGTGCTTCAGATGCTGCTTCAACCTGCTATACCAGACTCCCTCAAGAAAGATTTAGCCCCTATCTGATCATATCATACTAGTTTGGTGTTTAAAGACATTTCCAAGATAACAAGAGGTGATGTTATGACGTTCCAGTGCTCCGTACTGACACATGTAAAGTCAGCATTTGATTCCTGTCCCAACTTTTGTCTTCCATCCAGGCACCACTAACTCTCAAGAGATGCTAAAGAAGAGATCATTCTATGTCTGTTTCCTAAAAGCAATTATTCCAGATAGTCTCTATAATTAGCACTACTGAACACAATGCACAGCCTGCCTATCTTCCCTCAGGGTGTTGTAAAAGATTCTGGAAGAGAAACTAAAGGGCACAGGACAGGAAATCCTTGGAACTCCAGGTAAAGGAGAAAGAAACCAAGAATGTGTTCATAAAATAAGTAGTTTTAAAGTTCATACATTTACAAGAACAAACTATAATAAGCAGACTCACCCGAATACAACTGAAACAGCACAGCTTGGAGCAATGAGGACACAGACGTGCATCACGCAATTTCTCCATACAAATAAAACATCGGAATACTTCAGCAATGCTCTGCAAAGGGTAGATTATTGCTATTGTTAAGCCACATACTTCAAACATATCACAGTGCCATTTATTTTCCAGGCAGAGTGCCAGGTTTCATAAACACAGTCCCATTCCAAACAGCTACAGATAGCGCATCTCAGAGCGAGATACCACGTCAAACACCAAGGCTCTCCTCCCCGCTTTCTCCTACACTACACCAGCTCTTAGCACCCATTTTATAACACTATGCTCCTTCTTCAAGGAACAGTTGCTTCGTTTGGCTTAGCTTTTTTTGAAGTGGGCCTTTCTGTAGCAAAGATATTATTCCTGCTTATGTTCACACAGGATTGAACAGCCGCCAGAAAAAAAACTGTGCTGTACCTGCAGATTCTGCAGGCACGAGTTCCAACACACTGCCACGAAACTGATTTGAAACCATGGTAAGCGCATGTACGAATTATACAAAATGCTAACGAGGAGAGTTGAACCGGACAGGGCATTTTTTTGACTTTTATAAGGCTTACATTCTTTTAAGGTCTACCATTAACACCAGCTCTACAATTTCCACACTCTCTCATCCCCCATTTAAACAATCTTGAGCAATAAAAATATATTTTAAACACATCTTTTTTACTATACCCATTTGAAAAGAGAAGCATTTTGTTCTAGAATACAACCACCTCATCTCCCTCCATTTCCCCAAACGAGGAAGGTATTTTGAAATAGCAAGCGGTGTTTGCTTTCCATACGGATAGATTTTTCATCGACAAAGAAGTTTTACATTCTGTATTGTATAGAAGTTTGACCTTTTCTGTCTTTAACTACGAAACTTTGAGAGATTCTTCGGCTGGGCTGTTTTTTTTTCCCCACAGAGTTGAAATTATAAATCAGCACAAGAGTGAGGTATTATCTTCAATTTACAGATACCACAGTATCTCCCCCGTACGTTAGTGTCGTCTTTAATGGCCGCAAACCATTAAAGTGCAATACATGCGTTCACAGGAAAATATTACACGAGGTCTTTTAAAATTCTTCTGCTGTTTGACCGCTATCGATAGAGACCACAGCAATGCGTGCAAGCTGCCCAGGTTACAGACACCACTGAGCATTGCGCCTTCAGCGCCAGGTCTCCATCCACCTCCAGAAGAGGCACCTCCAATTTATTTTCTAACCCCGACTTATGTAAAATAACTGCGTGTCACCTAGAAATGCCACCTCTTTACACCCTGCTTCCTTCCTACCCAGCTCGTCAGCGCGCACACGAGCCAAAGCTCTGCGCATCCCTGCCCGCCGCAGAGCTGCAAATCTCCCTCCGCCTCTCGGGCCGCCCGGTGCTCGGAGCCGCTTGGCCCCTTTGCCCCTCGCAAGGAGAGAGGGACCCGCCGAGGGCTCCACTGACCCCTGAACAGGCCAGGCTCCCGCGGGAGAGGCCCGGCCCCGGCCGCTCACCATCCCCCGCGGAGGAGAAGGTGCAGCCGCCCGGGCTTCTTCCCCCGCGGCCCCGGGGATGCGGCGGTGCGGAGGCAGCGCTTCCCCCGCGCCGCCCTTCCCGCCTCCCCGAGG